CTTACTCGCGCAGTTTTCACTTACCTGCAGGACCTGGCTACCAAAACGAGGGTGTGAGGAGCTGTATGATGCGACACGGCTCGCTGAGAGTGTGCGGCCAGGGTCTGCGTGTTTGCACTGTTCCCAGAGCTGCCGTGTGTTGAAAGGGAGTTTACCTACACTCAGGACCACAGGACTGCAGCATTGTCCGACTAATGTGACGGTGGCTCAGCAAGTGGCTGCAGCGGGGGGTAATGGCGCTCCCTCTGTCCACCCCGTCGTCACAGTGGTCTCCACTCACACCAGGTCTGCTGTAGGCCGTTCACGGCAGTGTTGGGAAGCAGTGTCCATGTGGGAAGACTGGTGGCAGGAGCCTGCTGCCATGTGCACCGGGGTCGTGGGGGAAGCTGGCTGGGTTCCACTGAAACAGGGCGGAGTTCAGCGCAGCGAGCTCTGACATTGTCTTGAATGTCACCTCCACCAGCTGCTTCCAAAACTCCGCCGACCGGCTCCAGGAGGGTCGGGGAGGGTGGTCTCAGATCCGTTCTCTGTCTCACGGGTAGTCGAGTGAGACTGGTGCTCTGGAAAGGTGCACCTGCATTTACTGCGCGTCCTCGGCTGTCCGGGCTCACCTCCTGGTGTGACCGCCTGGCCATCGTTGAGAACTGTGCCCAGCCTCGCATTCCTGAACGACTTTCTCACTAGCTTTTGGAAATGACCGCTCTGGCCCCACCGTAGACGGACGTGAAGCTCCAGTGAGTCTCTAAAGCTGAGCCCCTCCCACCGCTGCTGTGGGAACTTAATTCCAGGGAATTAATACATTAATTCCTGGGAACTTAATACATTAGCTTTTTAGAAACAATATGAAGTCTCCATTCAGAGATAAAACCAGATCTTTGGTTTTTGTGGTGCTTGTTTTATTTTGGGTTGGGTTGTTTAAAGTGACTTCTGTAGACACGCCCACCTGCCTTTGGCTCTGGCGTCCAGACCGCGTGTCTTCGTGCTTCTTATCTAAGGCAAGCTCCAGGTCAGGTGCAGAGATGTTGGAAGCGATGAATTTGCAGGGAATGGGAGTCAGGTTGTTTCTGTGCCCCTGTTCTCAGGAGCAGACTGGATTGCCTGTCTCTGCCCTTGAGCGCTGGAGCTGAGCGGACAGACGCCAGGAGGGGTTTAAAGCCACTCTGAGAGCCGAGGTGCTGCGGGCAGAGTCAGAGCGGCAAGGGTTCCAGACTCACTCCGAGATGAGAGCAGTGGGAGACGGTCCCGTGCGTGGGGTGCAGCTCTGCCCCGTTCTTCGCCCCCACTTCCCACCTTGCCAGACTGCTCAGCCTCCTTGGGCCTCCGGGCTGGAAAACAGAACAAACTGCGGCAACCAGCCAAAAGCTCTGCAGGCCCGGACCCGTGTTTGACATTGCACTTCCCAGACTTCCCCAGAGCCCGCGACACGGTCTCCCTTCTGAAAGAACACTTGGGAAGTGCTCGTGTCTCTTCTCTGTGTTGCGGAGCTCGGCGGCACTAGGAGCCCGTCCCGCCCGTGGGGTCTGGACTTACCTGTCCAGGTGGGCTCCTCCTCGCAGGGGGCTGTGGTCTTATGTGCCTGCATGTCCGCGTGCGCGTGGCTCCAGGGCCCTGGCGCTGCTCTCACTGGAAGTGGATGGCGTTTGTGGACAGTTGTGGGGTTTGATGGGCTCTGGAAGCAGGGGGGATGCGCGTGTCCCTCAGGTGGCCGTGTGTCCTGCTGGGGGCAGCCAGGAGGGCACCTGGAGATTGCGTCCTCGTCCAGCTGAAGCAAACACAGTGTCACTCCGGGGCTCCTGGGAGGGCTCGGCGTCGGCGCGGGGAGCGCTCTGGTAGGTCTGCAGTGTTTTGGGCCGTCCTTGGAGCCCCTGTTCCCAGTGTGTGCCGCTGCAGAGGCCGGGCTGCAGGCAGAAGCCCCTCCTGTCTCCCCATGCAGGGCCCCAGCGGCTGTCTGTGACCAGCCTCCTCGTCTGCCACGGCTTGCTGATGGTGGGCACCAGCCTGGGTGTCGTGGTGGCCTTGCCTGTCCCTCGTCTGCAGGGCATCCCCAAGGTGACCGGTGAGTACCACCCCGCACTGTGCGCCTGCGTCTCCCGGGCCCCTGTCCTGTCCTGTCAACTCGTAAAGCTGGCGGGTCTGTGTTCAGCTGCATCATCCTAGGAGTTGCTTAAATGATGTAAATTACTTGGCTTCTCTCTCTCTTTTTTTTTTTTAATTTTACTATAAAGGCTCTGTCTGTTACTTTGAATCATCAGTTCATACTTCTGTTTTCCTGTCGCTAACATCGTTGCTCCAGGGAGAATCTTACCCCAGAACACATTTTCATGTTACCTTTATGCCTCTGGTTGGTTTGTATCAGCATATACAGTTCCGCTCAGTGAAAATGGATGTCTTATATTTTGCAAAGAAGGCAGCCCAGCATGGGAGAATACTCAGCTGTGCGCTTCTGTGACGCTGTGGGCAGATCAAACCGGCACAGCCTTTTCGGAAAGCGGTCTTGGCATTATGGCCCTCGAGCCTGGGAGTGTGCGTGTGTCAGGAGTCAGGGTTTCCAAGTCAGGGGTCTGTCTCCAGAAGCAGCCAAATCCATGATGCAGGAAAAACAGGGAACAACCCAGAGGTCCCAAATGAAGGGCAGGGGGATGTCTAGGAAGGTGGTCACGTTGCCATTTTAGGGTGCAATGCAGCCTGTGAAAATGTTTGCAGAGAGCTTTGAGTGACACAGAAAAGCACTAATTCTGTAAGTAAAACCAAGATCTCAAATTTTGTGTTGATTGTGGGATAACTCAGAGAAACAGATTTGTAGGAAACGCACCGAAATGTTAACGAATAAAAGATCTCTTTCTGTGGTTTCTTCCCAAAGTCCACCCTGGAACCTTTCACTCTGGCTGCAGGCACCCCTCCTGCCCTCACCCAGGCTTGGCGGATCTATTGCAGACAGGTCTGTGGTTAGATAAATCCGTATTTTATCAGGACCCCCCGTTAGGATTGAGGAGTTCCGACTCTGTACATTCATTTCTAAGTTCCCTCTTTCATCGCTGTCTGTGACGCAGACGAGGAGCTCGTGCAGGTGAATGGGTGAGAAGGCGCAGGACAGGAGGCGGGCGTGGCAGCCCGGGGTGACCCCCCCGGCACACAGGCAGGACTGTCCTCCGGAGCCTCACGCCGTCCTCCTGCTGGGTTTCTCTGTAGTTTCGCCCCTTGTGCCTCAGAAAACCAGGTTATTTTTCGTTGCGCCATTTTCACGTGTACTCTCTTGTCTTGCGACACCTGAGTTGCTCCGGACATCGTCTCCGAGCTGATCCTCCTGGTCCTCTGACTGCATCACGGCCAGGAGCGTGCCTGTCACCCAGGGACACACCGTGGATTCTAGTTGTTTCCGGCGCCGTGTGTTGCGGGCAGCACCTCCCTGGGCGTTTACCTGCCGCCCCCGCTCACAGGGGCACAGGGCCCCCGGGGTGTGCACCCGGGGGGGCGTCCCTGGGTGTTCAGATTCACCGGAGGCGCTCGGGTGCTGTTCGGCTGTGTGTCGGGTCACACCTCCGTCGCCGGTGTCCGGGCATCCTTACCCCTCCACAGTCCCCCCAGTGCCTACGCTGGCAGGGCTCTTAACTCGCGTTCTGCTCGCTGAGGGAGCCTGTCACCCCACTGGAGGATCCTGTAGCCAAAGTGGGGTGAAGGCCCCGAGGCCCTGTCTTAGCCTTGAAGCATTTGGCGGAAGGGGCACGTCCTCCCTGTAAGTGTAAATACCGCAATGAAAATGCAGATGCGACTCAGCTCCCGCCAAGTGCTCGACAAACGGGCAGCCGTTCCCACCTGACTCTCGGAGTCGCGTGTCCTGCGGGGGGTCTGCGTTCCGTAGGAAGACCTGTAAGGAGCGCCCGATGACTTTAAAATTCGATTCACATCACCTTTCAACTGAAACGTCCCCGTTTTAGTTAATTCCAGAGAACTAACTATTCCAAACCGCAGAGGTGAAAGCTGGCAGCCAGCTACGGGTGGTTGGGGCATCTTGCTCTTAAAATTGGAGTATCTCAGGCATTCAGGTTTTTAAGTCAAGATTCAGGAAAAGTTTTGCTAAGTTGTGTTCTCTGGGAGCAGGTGGGAAGGCATGTATGCCAAGAGCAGAAGAGCTGTTTTTCACTCTAGAGGTGTGATGCGAGTGTGAGAATGTAGACAATGTCCTCGGAATTCACTAAAGGTCCCCGAGAATGTGACTGGAAGCTGTCTGCACCGTGAGCTGCCGTGCGTGGGCTTTGTCCTGGGGACGGGGTCCCCGGGTGCCCCTGTGGTCCTGCCCGTCCGCGCAGCTCTTGCTGAGCGATGTCCCCTTTCAGGAAGAGGCATGGTCTCCTACCACGCGCACAACGGGCCCGTCAAGTTCCTGGTCGAGGCCACAGCCGCCCTCAAGACAGATAAGGACAAGCCCAGGGACAGCCCGCCCCCCAGCGTGGACCCCCAGGACGAAGACCAGAGGGACGCGCTCCCCGGCGAGGGGCCCGGGCCCTGCCCCGCTCGGAGCAGCCCCGACGCCGTGTGGCTGGGGGCTTCGCTGGGCTCCACGACCCAGCCCAGCGACGTCTCCTCCTCGTCCGGGTCCCTGACGCCGTCCCAGGGCTCCGGCTCCCTGGAGCCCCGATCAGAGGAGGGCTTCCTCCAGGACCTCCTGCGGCACCCTGGCATCTCCGCCGGCCGAGGGCGGAGGGCCAGGAAGGCCAAGGCCAGCTCCGTGCTGGTGGCCTGCGGGGGCCAGGGCCACCGGCGGGTGAGCAGGAAGGCCAGGCAGCAGCGGCCAGAGGAGCTGGTCTCCTCTGTCATGGTCTGGCAGATCCCTCTGCTGAACGTGTGAGCCGAGATCGCCACCCCGGACGGTCTCAGCCAAGCCCCAGGGCCAGGGCGAGCGCGTGTGTCTGCCCTGGTCGGGTACCCATGACAGCGTCCCTGGGACAGAAGTGTGCAATAGCATCGAGGTGGCGCGTCCTGCCAGCTCCTCCCCTCTCCCCAGCGGCAGGGCCGAGCGTGGAAGCTCGTGAGGACGGCAGGCAGGAGGTGGTCCCGGGAGGACACGGTGCCCCGACCCCTGTGCCTTAATCATCACGGCCCCCCCAGACCGGTTCTCACACTGTCCTGTCTTGTCACCTAGAGAATCTGCCAACTCAGACCTCACAGGGAAGCCCAGCCCGTTCGGCAGTGGAGGGATGTGGAAACGATCCTTAGTCACGTGGCTTGATTCTGGCTCACTCCTTTTATTTATATGATGAACCTTAACTCCAGGGTAGAACGCGTAACAGTGAAGAAGGCCAGGTAGCACTCACCAGTCCAGGTGGCGTCCTTGCTTTCCGAGGTGAGCTGGGTTTTCCAAAGAGGCATGATGTGTGTCTTGTATGTCTTTAACAAAGTAGTATTTTTATGTTGCATTTTGCTGTTAAAAAAACTAACAAAGGTTTAGTTGATATATTTTCTGTAACGTTTCACAAATAACGTTTGCTTTGAACCAAAATGCTCAGCTCCTATCGAGATTGTAGACCCGAGTGCCGGTGCCAAAACATTCACCTGTTCTCATACTAAGTAAGCAGCGTCCATCTCCGGGTCAGAGGTGCGTGTGTTGTAGTGCGGTGGGAGACGTGCCGGCGTGCTGGCCCGTCCTCCCTGCTGGCTTTGCACCTGTTGGCCAGGAACGCCACCTGAAGGACACAGGGGGCCGGCGGGGTGGGCGCCCCTGCGGGCGGCGGACATGGGTGACAGGCAGCCCTCGGTCGGCAGGACCTGCCACTCGGCTGCACCGGCCTGCAGTCGTCCTGCGCGGGGTTCGGGGCTCATCGTGCGCCACGTGGATACATGATGTAAATTCTACTTACTGGATGGATTAAAAAAAAAAAAACTAATGCAGGCCTTCGCCCGAGATGAAGTTGTCAGCACATTACAGGTGACTAAAAATGCTAATTTTATGACTTTGCCAAATATTTTCCAAGGTGCGTGTGGACCCCCATGTGAAAGTAATACCTCCCCGAGCTTCTCAAACTATCAGCTGCTCTTATTTCATAAATAAAGTCTTTTTATTTAAAAACAGTATCGCGAGTTGCCCTTTCTTCCTGTAAAACGCCAAAGGGGCGGTTCTGTTCCGCAGATGGTGGAACAGCCCTGCCTGATGCGGCCGCCCCGCCTGCCGCGCCCGGAGGTGGGCGGGCGAGGCTGCGCATTAGCAGCGCTTTGAGCTTGAAGCAGGTGCCGGGAAACTCTAGAGACGCACGCACTTGCCAGTTTTTGTTTTGAGTGACACCGTGGGTTGAATGAGTTAATATAAAACACAGAGAGAAATGTGGGGGAAGACTAAGCTCGGCGCCGTTTGCGGTGGTTAAAACCCAGCTTCTCAGTATTTCCAGGGGCCAAATAAGACGGAAGTGCCTGGATGCGCTTTCACTTAAAGCTCGATGCACGAAGGTCTTCATCAGTGTCTCAGAAACTCAGGTTACACCTGCCGGATCTGCCTGCAGCATAAATGAGGTAAAAAAAGTGCCAGGTGATGTTTCCGTTGACGCTGGAATATTGGTGACCTATCGAGAAAAGCCTCACTGTCACTTGCGGTCCATCTGCACTTCGCCAGGTTTGCTTTTCAGCGGCGTGGTGAAGCTTGCAAGATCGCTTTACTCCTGTCTTTTGGTTAAGATGTGACATTCTTCTTTTCCAAATAAACACACTGGCCGGCTCCTGAAGGGTTCCCTCCCGTGGGGAACGTGGTGGTTCTTAACCCCAGTGAGACAACGTGTGTAAAGAAGATCTGGGGAGACTAGGTCCTCACAGAGACGTCAGGGCCTGAAACTTGTCAGCAGTTCCAGGGAGTCCTTTCTCGGTGCTCCTGGCGTCCTGCAGCGCGTCTCTGGGCGTCCGGATCGGAGCGGGTGGCCGTGCGTGCACCTCCGAGGGCGCGGACTCTGCGTGCCGGGGCCCACGCCTCCCAGGTAAACCGCTGGCCGACTGGCTCGGCAGACTCATCGTCATTCCAGAGGTCAGAGCATTTGTACACGAGGACAGCAGTTTCCATGTACGGTCAGATCCCGAGACGGGGCGAACGGGCTGGGGGGCTGGGAGGTGGCCGTGTCCCGTGTTCCCGGAGTGTCCTGTCTGTTAGTCACGGTCTCCTCCATCCCCGCGGACACGGTGGTGTTGGCTGTAAAGGACAATTCCAGAGCCTCACGGGAGGCAAAACCCAGGCACGTCCCTAGGATGTTTTATGAGCGCCACGCAGTCCCAAATAACGTTTTCACGGAGATCTGTTCATCAAATGCCGTGTCATTTAAATGATTTGAGTCATTAGCTGTCATCGGGCACCGTAAGGGCCGGTCCAGCTCACCCCGCCTCGCCGTCCAAGCTTCAGGCTGGGGAGTGGGAGGTCCGGGGTGGGCACTGCAGGATCGGGGGGAACTGGAAGCAGCTGCAGCAGGGTCCCCCGTTGGGGGGGGTCCTGTCACCTGTCACCCCTGGGGCCTGAGCAGCGAACCCTGAAATGCGGGGTAAACCTCAGCCAGTGGGACCAGGGGTGGTGAGCCTGCGGGGCTGGCCTCGCATCTCTGCCGGGAAGAAGTGCGGCCACAGGTGTGGGAGAGCTGCCGTCTCAGGTGAGTGAGGGCCGGTGGGCTTGTCTAAGGGATGTCGGTGCCATGCTGTGTGAGTCCACCGTGTCGGCCTCCCCGGATGTGCCGGGCCCTCTTCGGGAGACGGGAACTGTTCAGACCGCCATCTGAAGGTGAGAGAATGTCCTTTAGATCCTGCTGGGCTCATGTGTGAGAGGGTCCTGGAGGACGAGGAGGCGGCCAGCCCTGGGGGGGACAGTGAGAGGGTGTGGAGCCCTGGAGGCCAAACCCAGCCTCCGCCGAGCTCTTCTCTGCTGCGCGCCCACCCCACCCCGCCCCTCAGGTCCGGGATGCCCTCACCCTCTGCCCCCTCTCCTGGTTGGGGTCACCCCACCTCCTGCCCCTCCTGGCTGGTGGTGCCCAGGGGACTGCATCAGACCCCTCGCTTCCTCTCGAGCTGACATCCAGCCAGTCCAGAGCCCCCGCAGGGACCCTGTTTTTACTGGATCCATCTGGAACCCCTCCCACACCACTTCCTGTTTCTGCCTCTGGCCGGGAGCACAATCTATTCTGTGCTTTGAGTCTCTGGGACTCGGATTTCCCCAGAAAACCCATTTCCTCCTTCCCGGTCACTCTGGGCCCGGCCCTGCTGTGAGGCCCCGGTTCCAGCAGGATAGGGAACAGGCAGGGGCCACGGCGAGGTCGGTTGCTGTGCTCTGGACACTTGGCTTTTACGCCTGCACCGGTCAGAGCAGGAGCCGGGTGCCTGGAGAGGAGGCTTCCTCTCCGCGTCCAGACAGTCTGCGTCTGGCTGCGTGACCTGGGCCGGCTGCTCCTGGGGACGGGAGCAGCACTGGCGCTGAGCTGGGGACGAAAGCATTGCGTTTCCTTGGTGACCGCGGGTAAGGGCTTCTCTCCCTGACGAGCCATGTGGTGTGGAGGGGGGGGTCTCTGCAAATAGAGTCATCTGATTTGGTTTTGTAAATCACGCCCCGAAGTGTCCTTTTCTGCAAATATTTCCATAAATTGAATTTGATAAAATGTCCCAGATCCTGGGAAAGAGGGACAGTTCATAACCAGCTTTCTCGCCTGCGAAGTGGACATAATCCAGCCCCAGGGACTGTGCATTTTGGAGGCAGCTTTGAGATTAATATGCATGGAAGTGTTTCATAAAACTGGGTTTTTTTTAATGAATAAAGGTCTCAGTAGCGGGAGTGGGCACTGACCTAGAGCAGCTGTGGGATGTCAGGTCACGGTTCCCGGGGAAGCCAGGTGGGAGGCTGCAGCCGCATCTCTCATTTTCCTTAAATAAAAATCTGGAGGCCGTGTAAGAAAATGAGTGAACGAAGATGCGATATTACTTTGCTGGCGGCCTCCTTGCCCGTGTGTCAGCTCTAGCTCAGGCAC